TTTTTTATTTACTTAAATACCTAGTTTTCTGGTTTTAAAATAATAAAAAGTAAATGTTGATGTTATACGTATGCATCACCAATAATAATAATTTTTACTATATTTATTATTTAATTTTTTATAAACAAATTACGCAACTTGGATTTAATTAAAAGTAACTCACTATTTAATAAATGTTTAGCAATAAAAATCAGTTAAGTTAAAAATGTTAAGATATTTAAAATTAAATTTAAAAAATCTAGTATGTGGAGGTCGCTCTGCTGTACATTAGGTTACTAGTTGCTCACTGTAATGGATGATGTTAAGTTTGAATTCAACAATGAAAAATCATTGTATACGAAAAACGATTCTGAAAGAAGACGGTCTGACAGTCTTTAATATTACTCAATTATTTAGTATATTCGATGATATTATTGTGATTAAAGTAATTTATTTTACTAGTAAGTATTAGTACTACGCAGTAGATTAAATTAATTAAAAAAAAAAATACATTTGAAAAGTCGTTGAGGGTATAAAATATAATAATATACTTTAAAAGTTTCAAGTACCCACGAATAATATTTTTAATTTACAAAAAAATAACATCAATCATTATTCTTGGTAATTTAATCTTTAATTTAGTTCATATTTGAACATAAAAAATCTGTGATATTATTTATTTGATTTTTTAATAACAGAATAACCTATTTGCTTGGAACTTTGTTTTGAATTTTCAACAATGTTCGGTACGTATCATAACCATTGTATGGATAGTAAAAGATAAGATAGAGGCTCTATTCGCCGATCATATCGCACGGGTTCAAATATTTTCAGTATATACGTAACCGGCGTAACAAGCGTATTCGGCCGTCTTTTCTAAATGTGCACAATATTGTTAGGTATAAAATAAATTTAAAGTTCTAACGTATAAAATCGTTTTGCGATTCAAAGCACTTGATTTCACACTGCGTAACAAACCCTTATCTACAAAAGTTGAATAATTCAAAAATTTTCAATTATAAAATTATTTGTACATTTCAAATGATTTTGTTAAAATTTAAACTTTGAATGCTCATTAAAAAAATCGTGCCTATGCATTTTAAATATTTTTCAACTAATATTGTAAATATCTATCAAGAGCATTTTATTGAATTTTCAAGCTTTTTTGCCCAACAAATACAATTGTATTAAAAATTTATAAAAACAAAACTAAATTAACTAAAAAAATTCAAAATTCAAATTGTTTGTAAACAGCTCAAAACGAGTACATCAAAAGTATATGAATTGAAAATATAAACAAATGGTGTGAATTTCAAATATCTGCAATTATTGGATTTCCAGTTACAAAAAAATAAGTGAAAATCACTATATGAGAAATGGAGTGAATATTCAATGTTGTCAAAATGTCAACTTCAAATGGTCATAAAAATTTAATTTGACTTTCACTTATAAGGAATCTTGTATTAAAAACTTAGATATAAATCGAAAAATATTTATGAATTTCGAACTCAAAATATTTTGCACATTTTCGTGACTTATACTAATTTTGTCAAAATTCAAACGCTTATAAAAATGTGTTGTCAAAATTGTATGGTTTATAGAAAACGCCGTTATAAATATTCAGTAAAAATTTCATGTATATCCATGGTATTTTTTTTTTTTGTTGAGAGTTACATCAAGTACCAAAATCGATTTGGTCGAAACCGGGTTTCTGTAAAAATTCACTTTTTTCCTTAATTTTTTGTTTGTTTTTCCTGCCGATTTTGAAAACTATATAGAGAATTTTTTTATTTGGACCCCTCGAACTACCAATACTATTTACATTTCTAACAGAAAAGATGCTGTTGAAGAAAATCGAAGCACTTTTACTCTCCCAAAATAACGTTAAGACAGGAACAAAAAAACTTTAAAAAATAAATTGTAAAATCAATACATTCATCGCAAAATCTTAAAGAAGTTTAAGAGTTAACATTGAAATAACTTTAAATTACCCTACGGCCTACGATCAGGGAACAGAAAAACGACGACGACGAGCGGCGTTTGTATATTACTCGATCTCTCGTATTGAATGCATTTACTATCAGAAATAAAATATGTGTCTACATAGGGGTAGCATATTTTTCATGAAATTAAATTTTTATTTGAAGTATAAAAAGTAAATTTAACCACCAAAAAAATATGAAACTAAAATTAATTACTTTAAACATCGACGCTTTCGGGCTTCGGCGGAATCCCTAATTATTGTGTGTGCACTGCGGAATAAATCAGATACCTATATGACTGAACTTAGGTTTTGCTTTGCTAACTGAAATTTTAGATCGATTACGTCTTTGCAACTACTTAGACGATCGCCACGGATTGCATTATAATTTATGCTACATCAATATGATAAAACCATAGATAGATATTATATTACAAATTTTTATATCAAAGAGGTCCGTGTTTGAGATTTGATCATTAAGATAATGAAATGAGGTACCTATATCAATAACCAAAATAGTTAATAATTTTAAAATTTAAATTACAACAATATATAAAGTACCTAGTATTTTAATTTTTAATTTAATAATTGATAAAGGTTGGTGTTTAAATATTCGAAGTACAAGCATATTTTTTCATGAGTTATTAAATAAAAATCTTATTGTAAATAAATGTGATTACTACTTTTTAGATTTAACATAAAGGTATTCAGTGCATAATACATCACATTTACCGTATACCGACTAACCAACCATAATTTGTAAAATTACAAGTTCCTAAATCTTTTCTCTGAATACCTACTGTCGAGCACGAAATTAATAATTAATATTTTATGTATTCATTTTGAGTGCATTGGTTAGGTAAACTTTAAGCTATTCGAGAATATTTAAATTTTAAAATTGCCTTATTTAATTTCCGACGGATATTCAATAATCAGCAGAGCGACTTTCCCAGCTTTATAACATAATTTGATGTTTGATGTCCGACGGCGTCACTTTAATTCGCGGTTCGACCACAAGCAGAAGGCATAATAATATTCATATATTACTTAACATTAATTATGTAAACTAAAAATAAAAATTGTTGAATTTTGCAGGACATAAAAACTGCCGTGTACTACTGTAATATGACTAGTATGTACAACACTATTTATATCTATTTAATTTTATAAATATGTTATTATTCTGCGACCTGGATATGGATATGCCGTCGTCGTTTGTGATACCGTATTTTTTTGTGTTGTGCGCTCGGGAACAAAAAATATGCCCCTACTTCATACGGGTAGCAAATCAAATTTTAATTTTGAAACTAAAAAGTAAAATATTTAAGCCCCAAAAGAATAAATAATCAAACTTACGTATACATCGACTGTCCGGGTACCTAATATATAGCTGCAAGGCGCCATATCTTGAGTGCAGACGCCATATCGAGTAACTTCTTCCTTTATCTAAATCCAAATTGAAAAAAATCGAGATTTTTTATAAAAATTACTTGAGTAGAATGAAATAAGTGAATAAATGTTTATAGTTGCCATACACATTTCTCTTTTGTTCAATGAAATTATTAGAATTGCGAATCGTCTCCAGTGAGTGACGACGATCGGCTTTTGCCATAGATGATAGGTATTATAATATAATATGTTGTCATCAGTTGAGTTTTTGACTTCTTTGGATTACACAATACATTTTTTATTTCAAATGATTTTTTTATTTAGCTGTATTGGATCAGCACCATCTAATACATTAACTTAACACCATTGTCACCATTACAAAACAGTATTAATTTTTATACAGCAGATACCTACATTATATTTTAATGATATTTAAGCAAAGTCTTCAGCTTGACACTTTTCTTCGTACAAATAATAACTTTTATCATATATGTTATCCGGATTTTATCTCCTAAAACTAAATCCACAAGAAAAACAAGTTTATGTGCTGGCATGGCTCTAAAAAATTGGTATAAAAATGAACAGAAGACCCATTTGAATTGAAAACCACAAAATACTATATTAATTTTATAGACTTCAAAAAGAAATTCATGGATTTTTAACAAATAAAAAAACCTACATAATATTACATAGTATATTGTGATCTTTTTTATTATTATTTTCTCCCTTGTGTACCTACAATGGGCTATACCAAGGGCTATACAAGAAGTTAATTTATAAGTCCACTTTTAAACGCTGTACCAATTACAGTGATAACTGATAACCTAACGCAGTTAATCAAGAGAACAAGATTATTAAATTTGATAAACCTATCTATATTGGTAAATATACTTAACATTTTTATGTTCAACATTTACTTATACATTTTCTATATTTTTTTAGGATTTTGTGTGCTCGATGTTTCCAAGACAAAAATGTATGACTATTACTATAATGTGACGCAAAGACACTATATGGGGACAAGATTAGGTTTATTTATACTGATCAGTGTTGTAAAAAATACTTTTAAAAAGTATTTGAGTAATTACTCAAATACTTATAAAATAAAGTATTTAAAATACCACAGAAATACTATCTATAGTAAAGTATTTTAAATAATTTTCAAATACAAAACAAAAAAATCAATTTAATTCTGAATCATTCATAATATATAATATTAATCAAACATTTGAGTGTCTCATTTTAAGAACATTATTTGTTCAAAATATTGATCCGTCATATTTGTTCTTTTTTTGTATTGTTGCATCACCAACACTAAACACTGTCTTTACTGATGCACAGCTAGGTAGTGGAGTGTTGTACTTCAAAAATACCTGAAAACTAAGTACAAATGTTTATCTAATATTACTACTAATAGTATAAGAAGTTTTCAACTAATCTTACTTTTTTGATAGTGGGTAAATTATGCAAACATTCTAAAGTCTTTGCTGGAGATGTGCCCAAATATCTATCTATTTCATCACTAACTGTTGATTTTTCCTCTCAGGAATTTTGTGACCCGGTAAAAAAGGTAGATAAATTATCTTTCATTTGGTTATCTTCTACATCATTACTGTCATTATCACTGGTATGTAAGTCATAACAGGCACCTTTTAAATATTCTGTTGCCAATTATTTTTTTATATTAATTTTAATCCATGCTTTTTTAAATAGTGGGTGGTACACTGTTAAAAATTTATCTATCAAATAATCGGGAAACCTTGTTTTCATACCTAAAAAACAAAAATTATTATCAATAAAGTCTATTTTAGCTCATGAGTGAATCGCAGAAAAAATGCCCACGGAAAAAAAACCCACGGAAAAAAAGCCCATGGAAAAAAACCCATAGAAAAGAAATCACCAAGGAAAAAAGCCCACAGAAAAAAAGCCCCCCAAAAAAATTGTAATTAAAAATAAATGTTAATACATCTATATTTAATATAATTATTATATATTTTTTTATTTAATCTAGTTTATACAATCTGTAAATAGAAAAAAAAGTACAATAAGCATAAATGATGTTTTTTTTAAAATTATTATATATTAAGTATCTTGAGGGAAGAACCAACCAGCGAAGGCACTGCGTGGATTACAATGAAGGAAAAAGGACAATTGACAATTTTTTAGAAGCTATTTCATATAACACACGAATAAAGCACGATTAACTTTATGTATACTATAATTTTTGCGACTATTGCGATTATTATTATGATTATGTTTTATTATCTGTAATGTTGTGATGATATCATCACTTATGATTATGTTATATTATCTGTAATGTTGTGATGATATCATCACTTATGACATTTGTTAATTATTATATTTATAGTTTGAATTACGGATATAGATACTAGTATCTATATCCGTGGTTTGAATATTATGTACTGTTTTATCACAAAATAAAATAACTATGTATATAGTATTTGAGTTAATCAACAAAATAATATAAAACACACTTTTATTTTCGTGGGTTTTTTTAATTTTTGGGTTTTTTTTCCATTGGATTTTTTTTTTGGGTTTTTTTTCTGTGGGTTTTTTGTCCGTGGTCATTTTTTCCGCTTACCCTCATGAGTATATAAATGTAGGTACTACACAGAAATATAAATATAAATAATAGATCAGCTGATTAAAATTTTACATTATACATCAGCAAGACTGTAAGCGCTAAGAGATACTATATATTTACCACTTAGTAAATAGTATTTACCAATGAAGTAAACCAAAAACAGCTAAAATGAAAGTAAATTAAATGTGTACAATTTAAGTACTTGGCTAAATAAGATTAATGTATTTAAAAAAAATTATTTATTACACACCATTAAGTATGGCAGTAACCAGAGGTTTCAAATAATTAGAAACTGTTTGATCACTTATCATTAATTCATATTTATAAATAAATACTTCAAATGTAGGTAGGAGATGACCAAAGTACATGTTAATATCACCCTGGAGTAAATCCAAGCTTATTGAAATAGGCCCCATAATTGTTTGATATTGACACATGAAATCAATATCACTTCTATCAAATCTAGAAATATTCATAAAAAATCTAGATAAAATAATTAATAATATTTTAGGATTTACAATTTACCTGCCAATAGCCAATTTGTCCATTATTATTCTAAACTTAAGTTCATTATTTTTAATTTATTTATTAAGCAACACCACTGCATCATACAGTGAATTCCAACGTGTCTTGTTGGGTGTAATTAAATAAACACCAAGATTTCGTTTAAATAAATCAGCTGACTTAGTTGAGCGACCTTGTTTATTCCACAAAGCGGTAGACTTGGCAAAAGTGCTTCTTGACTGTTTTTTGTATGCAAGATTAGACAAAGCTTTTTTAGAGTCCTAGAAAAAACAAGTTATACAAATAAATTATTTTATTTTGTATTTAATTTGTACAAATTTGTAATTAATAATAAAAAATTAAACAAACATAATTTATTGATATTTAAAATAGAAATTTAGGTATAGATAATAGAAAATAGCTAATGCCAATCATATTCAAACTTTTTTCATATATTTTTATCATTTAAATTGAAAAAAAAAATTTAACTTTTAAACGTATTACAACTCATACAAATTTGATTATGATTATTAATTGTTAAACCTACTACCTAATAGTTTTGTCCTGATCACTATACTTACTCAAAATATATTCTTTTCGATAAAAATATTTTTCGTATTTTATAATTTAACTATATTAGGTTATCTACCCAAATAAATGTTTAATTACCATTGTTGCTATTAAATTTATTGTGTGTGCACAACATCGATGGTGTTTTGGTAATGCATATGGCAAATCATGGTCTTCATCATTTAGAATGTTCAAGTTGAATGCGTTGATTTCTTCTAAATCATTAACAACCGTATCGTTCACTATATAGCAATGTATCAGTATATAGTCATGTAGTCATGTAAATATCAACTACTCTTGTTAATGCTGCAACTAAAAACTATTTAATAAAACAAAAAATAAAAATAAACAATACACATTCTTACTTTGAATAGTTAATTTATTGTTACACAAGAATACTGGGCCCCTCTGAGATGACTCATGTGGGGGCCCAGGAAAATACATAATATAGAATAACGTAGAATAATGAGATCTATGATACATCTTAAGCACTTGAAATTTGACTTTTAAAAAGCTGTGCGCCACTATTTTTGATGTATTTTTGTAATATATTAGGTATTTGTGTGGTATTTAAAATTAATTTAACACACAAGATATTAGATGAGGGTCACCTGTCATAGGCAGGTATGAAATTAACATTGTACTTACGCTTAAATGTTTTCTTATATTAGAGTTTGAACGTGAATCCACCTTGTAACAAGGTTAACCTAACCTAACAAACATACTTTGTATCGACACAACTTCACTTTCAGCTTCTTGTAAAAAAAATTATCCTCAATGACTCTTAATACTTTAAAATATTTTTGATAATTTGTCCAGGGTAAAATTGGTTCTTCTAAATCTGCAACATGATCGACTTCGGTTGAAGAATCACAATCACTCATTGTATTATAATTTAAAACAATTTAAACAATGAAAACAAGAGTATACGGTTGATGCAATACAATTATTAACAATCTGTAGGAACGTCAAGCAGACAACAGCGAACACGATACGAATAATACGAACCCAAGTAATAAATATTACAATAGTGTAAAACAGCGTAGGGGCGCATACATGCAATATTGCAATAGTTTATAACTGATTGTGCGCTAATCACCAATTTACAATTTGGTTATTCGTAGTCCGTACGCACAAAAATATTATTTTCTAATAAAATTATGAAAATAAGATAATACCATGTTCCACATATTACTATGGTGCTTTATAGCCATATTCATTTATTTATAGCAGAATCAGTTATCAGTCAATATCAATGTTTTATATTATATTTATAGCTTTTAATTGAGAATAGGTCGCACCCGCTTGTTATGTTGTCTCCGTACGGCGTACACAGTACACACGTACGGCCGCACAGGTACGACATAGCAAAAGTTCGTATAATATTTCGTTATAATACATGTTGGTAGGTAACGATAACGTACCGTTGCGATTTTCGTCGACTATAAACAGACGGTTTCCCGGAGTAAAAAATATTTAGTTAAGCTAAAGATATTTAATTTATTTATTTTATTTAAACTAAAGACGAATACCAAAATCGATATCGAATTGTTCATAAATGATAAATATGTATATTATTATAACGACATTATTATTATTTGACAAGGAATAAAAAAAAGTATTCAATAAAATAACATTCAATAGTAAAAAAATGTATTTAAAATACCATTCAAATACCTCAAAAATAAAAGTATTCAATACCGAAAAAAAGTATTTGAATACTTTTACTCAAATACTTTACAACACTAATACTGATACAGGTAAATATATTAAAAATGTTCTCATGTGTCATGTATATATTGCATTAATTTAATATAATTATTTGTATAGATTCACTAGTGTTTAATATTGATACTGAAGATTTTTTTTGCTGACTCGACTGATGTGGACCGGATGGATACTGCTAACCTGTCCAGTACGGCAGTACCCATCCGTGTTATATAGCAGATAGGAAGGTGCCCGGCTTCTTTTCGAATGGAGTCGATGCCATCCACTATTTCTAATATAATTTATAAACACTAGGTATACTTTTATAACGGAATATGTTTTACTTAAACCATCTGCGGTTTCCAATTTTTTAGTTTTTTAGTTTTTTACTTATCAGTTATCATGTAGATGCAGTTATTTCTATCAGAAAACTGAAAAATGCAAATATATCGTAGTAATTTAATATAATATCGGCATAGTTTATGTTCGAAGTAATCGATATCGGAGCAGTATTATGATGGACAATGAACATTTTTTTTTGGAGTAACACAATGACACAATGTCGTAGCAATACATAATTGTAGAATTGGTGTTATCCCAGTTACCACATTGCAGCCTAACACGATTTAATTTCCACAAATTGTATTTTATAGTCATTAGTCATTGTAGATAGAACTGACAGAAGGAAAAACAATGGTTATACCTAGTCAACAAAATATTATTGACTGTTTTATCACTATTTTTACTTATCGTATTGCATTTTTCATTTGGCCGTCCAGTGTCAACGACTTGTAGCAGTCGTCAACATCAACATGTAGACTTAAAAAAAGAAATAAAACAAATCAATGTTAGGGGTGTACAAATTTTATCTTATATTATTATTACCACTGCCGACTGGGAAATGGAAACTGCATCAAGTAAAAATTATGTTCCGGAAATTGATCTTTACCCAATCGAAATTGTACCAATGTTCCAAGTTTGTTGCAAGGTGGTTTGCACAAAAGACAACAACAAGATTTGCGGTGGACTGTCAGACCATGTTCTCGTTAGGCCGCAACGACCTGCTTTTCAGCCGACAATACTGTCGACGGAGCAAGATGATATTGATCGACGGCGAAAACTATGACATGCAGCAACAGGCATACGAGCAAGATCAGGTAAAGCAATAAGTAATAACGCGTTCGAACGCGGAACACTTTTGCATTTTTGCTGCCAGCACTTATCTGCGGGCGCAGAAACTTCAATGAACGGCGCTATTCCTCCCAGCGAGCCATCGAGTTCACCGGTGATCTTGCCGCCGGCCCGATTGTTTAATTGTGCGTGCCGCCGTGAAAATCTCGTGTGATCACGAGACTTGTGTTTTTGTAGTTGCTGCAATCAGCCGGTATATCATCAGAATCATAAGCAAGTAATCGATTTTTTGTTTTCCATCTTAGATGTTGACCACAACGCAGCGTCGCGTACGTTCACCACCCGAGTGCCTCCGCAATACTTCGTGTGATCACGATACGTGATAATATCGTATTTGTCGTTGTGATCAGCCGACATACCCAATTTGCCAAAATACCTACTCATCAATTATATTATTGTGAGGGCCATCAGGTTTTGCCGGTTTTGGTTTCCGTCGTGGTGTTCCGGGAAGTGCCGCCGACTTGTGTGTTACTCGCGGTATCCACTCGTCGAGCAGTCGCAGTGGTTTCCACTCGTCGAACAGCCGCAGTGGTTTCCTCTCGTAGACTGAAGTCCGAGAGAAGCAAGAAGACACCTGTTCGCTATCGCAGTTTCAGCGAGGTACCGCCACTAGTTGCTATCAGTGGCGGCTTGAGTTTCATAACTCAAGGAGCAAGAGTTTATAAACAACCCACCCACCAGCTACATTTACTAGGGCCAATGTAATATTTATGCTTTTTAGGTTCTTCTTTAGTTCAATTTTTCATTAACTTTTACAATTTATGATATAGATACAATTATTTTTTACTTGAATGATCAATCTTCTGTTATGAATTATAAATAGACCTGTTAAACTTAAACATTTTGTTTCCCGATTTTCGGGGCAGGAGCAGTTGCTCCTAGTATTCCTATAACAAGCCGCGCGCCCCTGGTGGCTTTGCCGTGGTCAAGGTCATATGTTTTATATGAAGTTCTCCTCTTGTTCAGTGGGGCACACTATATTGTATTTTATATGAAGTCGTCGCTGTAGTATTTAGTTCTTAAGGATTAATAGGATTATTGTTTGGTTTTGACTTTTGAGTAATGACACTATGGTAATATAATGTTTGGAACACATGTACAACAACAAAATTTCATTGTGTACGTTATAATATCAACGTTTACAATTAAATTGGTTTTGGGCATAGGCATGCGCACGGGGGCAGCAGAGGCAGCACATGCTGCCCAAGACTTTCTTTGGGGTTATCGCGGCCGACAAATATTGAATAATGGACGATAGACCTCGCTAAAATTATATTTCCAAAAAAAAATGACCATTAGTCATTACAGATAAAAAAAATTATAAAATTGTATTATGTGCGCGCCCCACATAACATTTTCCAATAATACAAACTTCAATAAATATTGAAGTTGAGTTGAATTTGAAAGGTTCGAAAAATAAGATTCAATAATACTAGAATAAGTGTTTATTTTTAAACTTTACATTAAAGTAAATTCTTAGTGTGGGCATTTCTAATGGAATCGCGGTGTTCTTCATATTGAAAAAAAAACAGAATTGTATGCAATTATATCGAACATGAAAATTCCTCAATTTCGAAAATTTGGCACTTCGTGGCTAGTGCTTGTTTTACTAGAGGCCAGTATACCACATGATACCAAAGTACACGGACTAGATATAAATTATTCTTTGCCTATATACTCTTTGGAATGGTTATTGATAACGCTGCATATGATAGCACTATCATTTATCGACAACCGTCATGTAAACAATAAACAAAATAATGATTATTAATTTATTATTAGGTATGTAACCATTACAATATTAAATGACTTAATAGCCATGTAGGTATTATGAATTTAAGTTGAATCAAACATCTTTAAATAATCGCAATAATTCTCATTTTAACTATTATAAAATTAATAAAATAATTAACGCAGTGTATTAAAGACAATGTAACAACCATCTTTCTCTACAACCTTCTTGGTGTAACAGAGAATCGTTACAATCATGAGTTCCGGATTTGTATCTGAAACAGAGCTTGCCGAACGGCGCAGGATCCGTCAAGAAGAATGGGACAAAGTTAGAACGGCTGAACAGCCTTTGGGTAAGATGAAGGTTCTAGTTTGTCTTAACTTAGGAGTCTTAATTAAAAAAATTGGTTTTGTTTAGCGGTGCCCGAAGAAGAATATGATCACAGATCATTGTTCGATAGACTTGAAGAACAACGCAGAAAAAAAGAATACGAATATGAAGAAACTCATAAACTTAGTAAATATTTTGCTCGACATTTGTTAGAAATACTATCTTTTACACACGTATGTTAACAGTTGTAAACTGTTTAAGACAAATTAGGTCTAAACTTTAGTGTAATAGGAAGTACAAGTTTTTCAAATTAAAATTTCTTTTATACAAAATTTGTTTAGAAAACATGATAAGAGGTCTCGATGATGATGAAGTAGGATTTCTTGAACTAGTTGATAAGACTAAAATGGACGAAGAAAGACGTCAGCTAATCGAAGAGGCCAGACAGATTGAAGAATATCGTTCAAAAGTATCAACTCTTCAGTGCGAAACTATAGTTTCCCCGTTAATGGTTCCTATATCTAAACCACAGACTTTGAACAGCAGTGTGTAAGTAATTATGATTGACAGGTCACACTATTTAAATATTGGTAAAATAATTGTGTATTTTATATTTATTATTGTATTGACAGAACAAGAAAAACACAGAGTAAACTATTAGCGGGTGCAATCGTAAAGAAAAGAACATCTGAGGAGAGCACTAATCCTTCAAAAAAGCACAAACCAATCGCTGATGAATCTAAAATATTACCAGAGAAATCAACAAGTATGATAATATATAGTATTGTCTATCTAATTAACAAACATACATTTTAAATATAAATAAAATCCATTAAAAGATTTCCTCTATAATCATTATTGAAACAATTTTATTTTCCATCACAAATCACTTGAGATACTATAATGTATATAAATTTCATGTAAAAAAAATAGGTTTACTGTAGTAGATATTTCAAATTTAATCGGAAAATTACTTTTTAAAGAGTTTATTTTTATTTTAATACATATTTTATTGTTGTTTTTTTAAATAAATGTTACAGAATATATAGTTACTATTAAAAAAATATGCAAGGCATCAAAATGTTATAATACTAGTGTATCATATAATATTATTGACTATTATTGAAAAGATACAGAGAAATATTATATACTACCACTTACAACCATTTATACAACCACCCACTACTGATAAAAGATAGATGAGAGAGTTTTTATTTTAAGTGTTCAAATAATAAATTGTAATAAAATTGTATTTTTTTATGACAAATTAACTCACAATTTGCAACTCTATCAAATTTAAAACCTGTACGTTTACATCAACATTTAAACATTTTTTAGCATCAATTATCATAACATTCAATTAATTACATTTTATTCTATATTCAGCTGCAGGTATTTATCATATATGGTTTAGTTATACTTACTGTTGTTTTTATGCTAGTTTAAAAATTTGGAGAATTTCATTCAGTAGCATAAAATCAACTTTTGGCTAAAATTAATTTTAGGCTCATATATTATGTATGCTCATATAATATACACCAATAAGTACATTTATTGTTGCTTTCCTTATTTGTTTATTAAGTAATTGTTATAGGATAATACAAAAATTAATAAAAACAATCATTACTTTATCTTTGTAAATATACCAAATTACAACTTTGTTACTATTCCATTTAAACTTTATTCTAATTTTTAACTATAACAAATTTTCAAATAAGAATTTCCATTAAATAAAATGTTAATCATTGATACTTTAAGTGTAAACCATTCTTCACATGTAAATTATATGTAATAAATATGTATTGTATTTAATGTATTTTTTTTTCAGGTGAAACTAAATCTAATATTTTACCAGGACTTGCATATTCAGATAGCTCTGATGGCGAAGATGACTAGTTCCTTGTATACAACTAAGGTAACATTATTATTCACTATTCTATGTTGGTATCATAATTGTATGAGTAATTTTTATTATTTATAATTTTGTTTTTAGGAAGTTGAGAAAATTGCAGTTGAATAACCACTAAAATAATTAAGTGGTTCATAAATGTTACATAAATATTCTGACTTAATATAAGTATACATTTAAAACTATATTACTCCATAATTAAATTGAATTTTTTGATTGTATTTCCTTGTATTTTAATGATACAAGGTAAAATATATCCTTGTTATTTTGTTATCATTTATTATATCATTAAATTAATTTATAATAATCAAAATTTTATTTTAATAAAGCATTAGTAACTCTTAAATCTATGAAAAATACAAATATCATGCTCAGAAAATGAATAAACTGTTTAAGAACTAAGTAAATACTAAATATATTAGCTTTATTTACGACAATTTTTTTCATTTTATTACAAAATAATTAAGTTTACTCAGAAGTAAATTCATTATTAATACCTAGTTAACTCGTCTAATGATGATTGTTGCGAGTATTCTACTTAGAGTAAAAAATTAACTAAAAATATTTCTTCGATTTATACCTAATTTAATGTGAATTGTGAATTTGTTGTAATGGCTATAAATAACGCCACTAAAAATTTAAAATTTTGCAATTTATAATTTCAAATAATTTGATGCATATGAATTATAATATATTATATTATGTTAAGGGTTAGGTAGGAAATCCAGGCATTGTTCACAATACCTAAATATTTTGATACTAACTACTACTATGCTCCATGATTAAAGATATAATTATAATTATAATTATATCTTTAGTTGTGCTATGCATGAGAAAATTATACACTGCCTGAAATCTTATGATTTATGAGCCATGTGTTATTTTGTTGTTGTTTATGTTCATTTTTAAATATAATTTTACTTAGATAATTTGGTTTGTCAGTTTCTCAACAATATAAATGCTTTATTTATCACATTAAATAGTGAAGGTCTAGTTTATTAATTTTGTTTGTAATAGTATTTCAGTAGGGGTGATCTGGATTATATTCCACTCCTAAATCACTTTAAAAAAAAATTGTATTCAATTCCAGTGTGTTATTGTTCTATGCCGAGTGTTCACTTTAATGTTTCAGATGATAGGAATATTCCACTCCTTATATCTGTCGTTAAAATATGAAGCTCGTCCCACTATAATGTATATTGTTATCACTAAGTTTAAGTTAGTTTTATTTTTCCAATTCAGAATAAGCTAAATGGTTTGGGAATGCTAAGCATCCATTGCATAATGCATAGCCGTTTGCCCATGCGGATATATAAGAAGGGGTAGATAAAAATATCCAGAATTCTCATATTAATGGTTATTATTTTGTTACAAAAGAAATTAAATAAAGGATTTTTAAATTAAAAATTGTAAGTTCTAAATGTGTGTTATGTTTAAAATCATAACATTTTATAAGTAAAAACATAGCCCATATAAGCTCCTTACATAAGTGTAATATAACAAATAAAGGAAGACAGTGTAGACTGCTGACTGTTCATCTGATTACTCCTGGTTTTTTCTGATACACCATTCAAAAGGAAATCATAAAAACAACACTGCATGAGTCTTAGTTTCAAAGTTCTGCTACCTACCATTGAAGACTGGTATTTGAAATACAAATGAACTATTTTTAATACAAAAAATATTTAAATAGGTATTTTTTACCGGCTATTATTTGTAATAATTTTAATAATAATGAATATAATCTGGATATTCTGATTTTATGTTTTGGTAAATTATGAAATTATAATTATTACATGTGTGTGCATTGATGGTGTTTATGTACTGGTTAATGGTTTGAACAACATGTGCTAAATCAATAAATGAATCAATGATTGGTGAGACCCACTTGCCCAACTTTTTTAAAATTATTAATCTGATGATGAACTAAATGAAGTATTTACTAGTTTTTTTTTGATTTTTCCTTTACTTTTTTAGATAACATAATGTACAATGCATGTAGCATTTTGCTACTAAAATAATAATTGGTAACCCTTGATCTAAATTATCGAATAAAATAATAATTATAAGATACTTATACCATCTACAATTTACCTCCAACTCCCCCGCTATGATGACTAACCCAAAACCAAAGAGTATGTTTTTGAGTACGAATTTAAGTAAAAAAACTATACCTTTAAACAATAAGATGGCTATACTATCATAGTTCTATGTTATTGTAATGTATTATTAACACGGCAATATGGATAGGCATTTTAATTACAACACTGCCGTGGATTCGTTAGGTTAATGTGGTCAGGTAAATGGTTAAGGCTTAAGTGACCAGATGGATGCCCATTGAGTTTGCCTGACAGTCTGTTTGATGTCATATGTCCGCCGCTGCGTTCCACCTGTTAGGTCAGGTTTCAGCACGTATTTCGTGTACCATGCCGACATCGGATTTCCGCCCTTGGCCGAGCACACCTGCCATTTACCACCAGAATCAAAGCGTTAGTTGGACATTAATGTTGAGCTGTTCTAACCCAAAACCAAAAAGGAAATTTTTGAGTAATTACGAATTTAAGTAAAAAAATTATACCTGTAAACAATAAGATGGCTATACTATCATAATTTTATGTAGAATCATTAGACGATTCAATAAACTTTTTTGTTATGTTATTAAATTGGTTTTTATTTTTTAGATATTATATTATTAATTATTATTAATAAACGCATCAACGCGTTAACGAATCAACGCAACTGAACTTTCCTAACCTAACCAACCACCAACCCGGAGTAAAATTAATTAGTTCTGCTTGTGGAAATTGTGTTTATTGTTTAGATAAACCATATACTTTTGGTTGTTTTGAAATCGGTATACGAGTTTCACGAGAAAACTTATATTCCATAAGTTTTATGACCATAATTTTCAAATAAAGCATTCAAAAACGTACATTTTGGAAAATAAATTCACAATTATTGTTTGGAAAGAATAAACTGCATTTTTTCCAATATCATTCAATTCATCTATTAGTTATTTCTTAAATATCTAGGAAAACCAATGTTAAATTACACAAATTATAATTTTTATAAAAAAGCACATCTCAGTAAAACAAAAATTAACACAACGATTTCTTTAGAGAGTTTTTTTCTTATTGTAAAATAAATTAATGTTCATATTTTGTAATATTATATTATTGAATGAATCAAGTAGTTATAGCAGGTAAAATATACTATATTATTATATCATAAAAACCATCCCTGCCAAAAAGTAACCAAATAGTAGGTAACGATTTTAGTTATTTTGTTGCAAGTCATAAAATATTATTTATAAGTGCTTGAAATATTTCACTATAATGTAAGTTAATTGTTATATTTACAAATTTACAATGAAATTTAAAAAATATTTACTACATTTTTTATTTATAATTGAGGCTGATCATCATTAATCAATTTGAAATCATATTTTAATTTAATTTTTATTTTTAAATGCAATCTACAATCCATACCACTTTGGCAAAATAAGTAGATGTGAAACAGATTAGTTGTATACAAATTATTTAAAAAGAATACAACTTATCCTTAATAAGTAATAACATAATTTTAAATCATATATAATTTTATCTTCTAATTAGCTAAAATATATTATGCTCATTTACATACGATGTATGAAATGAAAACGGCAAATATCTTAAATAATTTTGGACTTAAATAAAAATTAATAAAATAAAATTAGATATAGATGGTGAAACCACTTGATAATAACATAAACGTATTAATTGACACCCACTTTTATATTTTTTACTATAATTTATTCAAACAGTGGCTTAAAATATTGACAAAAATATTATTATTACATTATTTTCTGTCAACTTATGATTTATTAACATTTAACCTACCTACCTAAGTATTGCTGAGAAAAAGTAAAGAATGAACCTACTTTCAAAAACTAAAATTTTAAAATGTTGAAGTAAAATATTGCAGTTTTAAAATTCCTATAGTTTATTTATAAATTAAAATATTTATAGAATTCTATAAGGTGTTTTGGATAATATTTTATCTTAAATGTTGATGATAGGTCAATTTACTTTAATATCAAAGCTAATAATAGGCAATTTGATTACTAACTCAAATTTGCTACCTATGTTGTAGAGATAGTAAACGAAAATACGAAATATTGTTCCAACATTTTCTTAAAATATTTTAATTATTATCTTCAAACTCAGCAGTTATACCTACCTTATACTGGTAAACTAAAAATTAATAATATTTTATAATACTTGAAAAATAATGACAATCAAGGAGAGGATTTTAAGGAATGAGCATCTGTGCGACCTATCTTAAGTAACGTAAAATATATCATATACGCTTAGATAAATAAAATTTGAACAAAAAACTTCGACTGGAGTTAATTTAAAAATAAATAATTTCATGAACCTACTATGAAATATTTGTTGTGATTAAAGTGATTAAAAATTAAACAATAAAAACTTGGTAGGTACTAGGTAGTAGGTACCTGGTACCTAAAGTCAACCAATAATGAAATAGCACGATATGGGAATCAGTTAAACAAAATGTACACCAAATAAAAATAAGGATAAACATAAAATATAATTTTTACATGATAGAAAACGGGTAAATTCATAAACTATTTTCTAGATTTTAGACTAGATAATTCTTTATTTTTGAGCCTTAGAATATAGCTTAAAAAATAACTTTTAGCTTACTTATATTACTAGGCCGTTTTTTCTATTAGGTATAATTAAAAACATTGTACAAAACATTCATAGTATTATGTCCTATATTATACTGTTACTTATAGGTAGTTAGATATAGATATTGAACTTAAATTAAGAACATTTTGAAATATTTATAACAAATCCTGTAATAATAGCATAATATGTCACGGGTATTTGTTTTTCTAATAAAGGATTTTAATTATTAACTTATATAGCAGCATTTGAACGTAGGTATTGAGAATGTTATAATATTATGTAGATAATGAAAAAGTGTAAAAATCATAAAACAATTTTACAAATTACTTAAATATTACCTACTTACAAACTTAAAGTATTTTTTAAAACTCCTAACATTATCACAACGCACTAGGTAATGCAAGTATATATTTTATACAGTAAACAGTCCGTTTACTGCATTACCTATTCTAATATTTTTCTAATTTTGTATATATTATAGTAAAATATCGAACTATTGAAGTCGAAAATATAAATTGAAGAGAAAAGTGTTATTCTCATATTTCACTACCAGTGAAAATTCTAAATGAATTCTCCACTACTCAGTACACTCACCGACATTAAAAAAATACATTTATCATGTAAATACTTAAAAATCTGTAATAAGAATTACGTTTTATTTTGCCTGTTAAGGTATTTTAGCTGACATAGAAAATGCCGTGCTCTTAGGCAATAAATTATGTACCTGGTTATGAATTTTCCTACTTCAACTTTAAAATTGGATAGGCTTACTACCGCACATATCATATTTTGCACACAACGCCAGAATATTTTATCAAACCTTCCCTCGTGATGACATGAATAAAATATACTAAATATATGTGAGATGATATAGGTAAAGTATATACCTTTCATACGTACGTATATATATATATATATTGTTGTGACATGTCCAATTTAAAACAAAAATCAAATCATAATATTATTATATCGAAAAAAACATCCATATCTGAATGATACACTATTGTACTGTATTGCGACTGACGACGTAACGTTCGATGTGGCCCCCAGCAATGTCGTTTTTAATAGTAAAATTGTAGAAAATGCGTTGCGTGTCGCATCGTTATTCCTAATATTGTCACATGTCGTTAGGTGTCGTAAAGGTTTGTGCAGTTGTGTGAGTGATTATCGCAGTAGCGTGTGTGCTAATTCCTCGTTAATGCGTTCTAGACAATGTTTTTGAAAATGTCGCTTTTGCCATTCGCAAGTGATTACGGTGGACTTCTACTGCAGGCAAGCCGACCGTTTTGCAAACGACGATAGGTACCCTTGAACGTCTGCTTTATAAGCCCAGGACGCCAGTCGAAAAGGCACATTACTTCTTCAGCCGTCTCTTCGAACACAAGCACCCGAACAAGTCTCCAAAAGACATACTCGACATCTGCACTCGACGAATACTCGACAAGACTTCAACAACAACATCGACAACATGAACAAGTAAGGCTAAATATTATTGTTACAATTATTGCCGATATTTGGAGTGCAAATTTTGTGGTTAAGCATATCATTTACGGTCGTCGAATTCAACTCGAACGTTTTCGGCAAAGTATAATTATATGATTCGATGGCTTAGTGCTCACTTGTTATAAATCCATTTTTCCAAAAATAAACTTTTTGATACTAATACTTATACAATTTAAATACTAATACTGATACATTTTCATACTAATACCAATAAATTTTAATACTAATACTAAAAGCAGCTAGATAGCTATGGATACATTTTACAACTTGTCAAGTACATCGATACATCGCTGATATTATGATTTAAAGGTGGGCATTAACTTGTTAAAGAGTTAAAGTTAAGTTAAAAAGTTATTTTTTTAAACTTTTTAACTTTACTAGTTAATTAATTTTGTTTTTAGCTTATTAACTTAATCAGTTAAAATTTGAATTTTTCAACTAACTTTTTTATAGTTATTATCATTATCGTGCAGTTAAGTTAATTTTAATGTTTAAAAGCACTTTGCTGATATAAAAATAAGCTAGAATCTTCAATTATGTATAAATATAAATTTCGAAATTTCTGGTAACAATGTACTATACTACTACAATCCAAATTAAGTGTCTTATGTTTACAATGTTAAACAGTGTCTTGGTAAATGTTTGTGTAAATAAAAATACTAGGGCAATTTATTGGGGCTTACATCGTAAGTATAATAACTAATCGATTTGTCACCGTTTACAGGTACACAATCATGATCGCAGCGGTGGTTGTTGCATTGGCATCTCTGGTCAACTCCGTTCCGGCCACCTCCACCCAGACAACCGAATCCGACCCGATGTCGGCCGCGGCCACATTCATACACAACAAACACGTCAAGTCAGGGAACCGTCAAATGGCTAGTAACGGACAGTCGAGCAGCTTGGTGGGCAGCTTGGTCGGCAAAGTGTTCGGTCACCTCAAGTCGTTGGGTCTGAAAAAACTCATCAAGATAACTTTGGTGGGCGGTGCGATGCTCTTGGTTGGAGTTGTGGCCGCGGCAGGCGCCGCTAGTATCTCCGTCGTCTCGACGTTGGTGGGCGCCGTGCTCTCGTACTTCCGGTCGTTCTTCGGCGGACACAGGGCCAAGACATCTGACTTCGAGATTGACGGCATCAGCGAATTCGTTTTGGGCGCATTCAACAAGTACGACAGCCTACACAAAGCCTGATGACGTGACTCGGTGCTATAATAATCGTTCGCGGTTTTATTCATTGTAAATTTCACGTAGCTCTGATATAATGGCTTACCCATATTATATTTTAAATTATTATTTATATATTATTATTATGTTTCGAGTATGATAATAAACAAAAATATTTTACTCTTATATGTGGCACACTCATCTTAATTATGACAATTATTACCTACACATTATATTCTATTATGTTTGTACATAAATATTATTATACTATTGTATTTGAATTTGTATCTGTGCTCACTACTCCTCAGCATGACGGCACATAGTAACCACTTCAGTACGAATTCAAAAAGTTTGCGACCTGAATGTGTTTGAACTCCGAATTAGGTAGAGTATATTCTAGAGGTATTTTGTTAAAAAATTACTTATCTATACAATTTCATTTTAAACTTTATCTTCAACAATAAAAAGTGGGTAACACTGTGCTATATGATTAAGTGTCTTGTAGGTCACTTAATGGATGGCGATAAATTTGAATTCAATGATATGATATTATTGAATACGAAATACGATTTTGAGTCGAAATGGTCAGTGAGTCAGCCTAAATTATAAAAATATTTTTAAATTACCAAAAAATAGCAAAATCTTTATTCTTAGTTTAAATATGTAATTTCGTTCAAATTTGAACTTAAAAGTCTGTAAAAAGAACAACTATATTTGTGTATTTTTAAGATTATTTTGGCAACAGTATGAACTATTTATGAGAATCATTTTTAGATTTTGAGCGTAGAGATGAATGTATAGTATTAACAATGATATTTGTGTTTTTTTTGTTATCAAAATTTGGTGTAGAATCGTTTTTCGTATACAATGATTGCAGACCAGTACCCACTTGTCCAACATTTTTAAATTTTCTATCCTTAGCTGTGAGAATGGAACATTTTCTTATTATTCAACTACAAAATAATTTGAGAATTTTCGAAATGTTGGTAAATGTTGTCAATATTTGAACTTTAAATACTTATAAAAAAAAATGAGTATGAATTTTTCATACTTATCAACTACTATTATAACAACATTTGAGGAACCTTGTATTAATTTTTCATGCATTTTTAACTAACTGAAACAATTTATAGAAAATGATAAAATAATTTTGTGAATATTTCATGTACCTACGGATAATAGTTTTTGGTTAAACAAAATTAAAAAATCGTTCCATGAGGATTTTGTTATTTTACGGACGAGTATGCATTATTATCCAATGTTTAACTTCAAAAGCTCATAAAAAATGTATTTGACTTTAAGGTAAACATTTATTTTTTATTAGACGTATAGTGGAACATTTGTAAATGTTAATCATATATAAATATATTATGTACATTAAACATACACTTTTGGATTGGTCAATGCAAAATAAACACACTCAACACTTTTCGATCTGTCCAAATTATTTCTTATTATTAAAATGACACACGGCAATTATAGTTTGACAGTAACCATCCACACGAGCGAACTCGAATATATTACATTTATTTATACAGGCATCTTCTAAGACAGTAAAGTAGTATTTTAAATTTAACAATAATTGCTATAGATTTATGTTCCGACAAGTGTTTTATTATTGATAAATACCTTATGCACAGCTAGTGCTCTAACCCCAGGAAAGCCTTCTCTGGATAACTAGTATCGAAGCAATATGGGTTCCCCGACCATGTTGCAGTAGGAAAGCTTATGGTGGATTTTGTATTAAGTTTTCAAATCTTAGATATACATACCTTTTTTAAAATGAATTTCTTACTCAAAATAATTAGAAATGTTCGTGATTTTGATAAATTTTGTCAACATCTTAACTTCAGGCGCCCATAGAAAAAATAACTGGATTTACGCTCAAATTTTTTATAATTTCCTCGTATTACAACTTTTATCATTGTAAAATTAGAATCCAAAACGATTTAATTCGATGGCAGCTTATAACTGTATTAGGTATCTGTATTCTGTAATAATACTATTTGCACTGAATGTACTGTACACACGAGTAAAGAAATATTGAAAACAAGTAAACATTTTTAATATCCACTAAATTATTATTTTAAGTGCTATTGTAAAATCAATTAATAAAATTCACTGAAATAGATAACTCAATTTCGACAATATCACCTTAGACGGGTGTATCAAAGTGTACATTTATTATATGTGTATATATATACATTATATTATGCCGCCTTATCGATTGGCAACAACAAAAACATTTTTAAACGAGTAAGAATAGCTCTACGACCTTGCTAAATTCTCGATTCCCAACCTATTTTAATACGGTGCAAATTAACCGTACCTCATTCCTAACACAATTTAAACAGAATTTGGAAAGCTTAATTTTTAGGTTTGTATATTTTAGCTCACATGAATCTATCTTCCATAACACTTAAATAATATTATTCTTATACAATAAGTACCATCCTCTCTGTGGGACTCTCTGTTGATATCAACAAATATCTTAAAGCAAATAATCGTAGTTAACGGACGGACGTATGGACACAACATTAATATAAAGTGTTCTAAACTTTTGTTTGGAAACCTAAAACAGTCTATTTGAAGCTAAATTCTATAAATGGTATTGAATTCATTATTACTATTGATAATAGTTGTAGTAATAATATTATATAGTCATCTGATGATGATATGCTAAACGGTTTTTTTTCACAAAAACATATTATGTTACATTTTTAATTATTATAATATTAATGATATTATGTGATAATAATGTAATATCCGTTAGTAACGACTAACGTTTATATCACGTATTTATCGTAGAACAGTGTTAATAGGTTCGTAGTGTAAATAGCTATAAATTAGTTTGAATGTTTTGAAAGTGTCATTGTATGTGGAAAATAATAATTTCGAAACAACAGAGAAAAGTATCATGTATAGTTATGTATGAAAAATATCGAAAAATCGTTATTTTATGTTTAAATAATTATTTAATAATTTGTGTATTAATTTATTTATATGTTAATTATTATTGTATACTATACCTGGTACAATTGCATCATAATTGGAACTACATTTATCAATATTTTTTAATTGCTTTAAAAATAAATTACACGAACCGTTATGTTAAATTTATTTGAATTTATACATTTCGAAACAAAATAGAAACTGTAGAATTTTTATAATGTCTATGAGTAATAATGCTAAAACGCCTAAAACGGCCAAAATATTTTTAATTTTTGGAAAATTTTAATATAAGTAAATAGATTAAGATATTTATTAGTAAAAATGTCAAGCCTCTCTTCCATTTTTCATTCTTGAATAACAAAAAAATAAGAAAATCACACCGTGAGAAATCGAGTTAATTCCAATGTTGTAAAAATTTGAAGTTGGCTTTTCGGTATTTCATTTGGTTTTTCGTAATCTGTTTTAATTTTTTTCTCATTCTGTTTTACAAGTTACAGCTGTAGGCTAATAACTCAAAATGTTGAAGCCTAACTCTAAATTGAAAAAATAAAAAAATATTATAAGTGTTGTAATTATATATGGTATTGGTATTACTTAATAAAAAAAATAAAAAAAGTGTTCCAATTTTTCCTACTTCATAAAAGTTATGAAAGTTATGTTCATATATTTTATGAAGACGATGTACGGAAAAATGAATACCTTAAGCAATTATTTATTTATAATATTATTAATGTATATTATATTATGTTTATTCTAAAGCTTTTCATATTGAGAGAGATGATATTAGTTAAACTAAGAAAATAAAATAATTTAAAATAAAATATATTTTATGATATTATTAAAACGTCATAAATCAAGACTAATATTCTTTTGAACGATAATTTTGCTTAAATGATTAAAAAACAAATAAAACCTATCATAAATAACATTATAACATATTATTTTTGACAGAACATCCGAGTTAGCTCACGCTTCGGGTAATATGATTACACTTTTCAATGATTTTTCACTAACCACGGATCTCCTTTTTCGACGCGGTTCACCACGAAAAATGACCACTGCATACTAGGAAATACACACATCACCATAGTATTGTTTTACACCTGTTATTGTTTCAGTTTAGGATAGTTTATGATTTCTAACAACCACATATATATTTTTTTTTAACTGAACCTCACGAAACTTTATAATATTTTATTTATATAAAAAATTATAGAAAACTTTTTAAAAACAATTACACAATGACGTACAACATTTTTTTTCAAGTTTCCATACATTTACCATAATTGAATTACAGCCACTTGAAAAGTTACAGACATTCTTTAGTGGCTTGGTGAGGCGTGGTCTTACGCTCAATCTGCGGCAACGCTCTGAGCGTACTTACCACCTACCGTTGGTAGCACTCGGATGGGTGACCAACCGTGTTTTGAGCAACATATCCTTGCCACACATACAAATACGTGTATTAAACCAACCGTTTCCGCCTACAAACAGCTAATGGCCACAGTTATCGGGCTTTGGATCAATGATAAAAATAAAACATTCTTTAAATATAACATTCAAAAAGATTAAGAAAATTTTTTTGAAATCGTATTTATCTATGGTGTGCGTTTTATATCTATTTAACTTAAATTCAGTATTTAACCAGCATGTTACAGTAATAATACTACTGATTAAGCTCTCGAAGATTCATACAAGTGTATAAAGTGATAGTTAAATATAAATATTGGTTAGTGTTACACATACTTACTTAGTATATAAACAAAACATATCACTTCGCAATCAAATAAAATATTTTTTTCTTCAATTTAAAATCACGAAACAAATAAATAACGTATGAGATACGTTTTTATTAACCATTAATAATAATCATTAATATGTTTCAGAATATTGTAATTATTACAAACGTTGAAGTATATCTATCAAACACTTATATTTTTTATGCGTAAATATTATTTAAATTATTTACAAAATATAATACCACATCAATTCAAACAACTTCGATAATTTACAATGCATTATTAAAATATTATTCGTTTGAACGAAACTCAAACATATAATAAGTTATAAATGTATAATTATATTCATTAAAAAAAAAATACACAGCAACAACAAGACAATATTAAAGTTTGTGTACGATACACGGTTTTATACAATTGTAATACAGTAATTAAATTAATTATACGAGATCGCAATAGACAATTATATGTATATAAATAGACTTTTTTTTTCGAGAAATCGTTCGTAAAATCAGAGCGACTAACATTATATTGGGCCTTAAACCAACAACAGTATTATATTTTATATGTATTTTTCAATATTCATAAAAGTAACGTAGTAATATTAGATATTATTGTATAATAATTTGAAATAATAATATTTGAAACATAAAAAATGACACATAATAAAATGTGTCTTAATTTTATAGCTTATGTTACACATCCGATAATAGTAAAAAAATCCTATGGTTAACCGATAATCTACGTTTATAAGGATTATCTTATATAAAATTTACAATTAATATATTTCAATAGATATACTCTCATTGCATTTGACAATATACATATATAACGTCATTACCTACATTTATGATTTAGAACAATATATTTTATGGTCAATAAAAATAAATCTTAACAAAATCTACCATTGTGGATAATTACTACACTTTTGACCGTCGAGTTTACTTAATATTTTTTGCACTATAACTCTTTTAAAACTAGTTAGTTTTGTATAGCTGAATTGAAGATTTTACTAAAAATTAAACATATTAATATTTGATGAAATGTATCAGTTTTAAATTATTTATGAGGCAATATCTGTATGACTTTCGTCATCAGTTCAATCAACAATTGTTTTTTTTCTCTCAACACTGAGTAATGGTAATAACTAATATCAGTAGCATTACAGATAAGTGCTAATCTGGGGATTGTGATCTGTCTCACTCGATCGTATAGGCACCCGAATATGATGTATCACGATTCACAGTATTATTTGAACATAATGAGCTTACCGAGATCAATATTTGTTATGCATTACTTGTGACTACGTAATTATTATCTTTGTTTATGTAAAGCCTAGACTATTGTGTTAGCACAATGCAGGTGGTTTGAAAGCATCACCCTTTCACGAAATCACAACAGTCAAAACCAGCTGTAGAATAGGCCATACATTTTATTTTTGCGATACGCTTCAGTGCGAAATTAATTTAATATTACTGTAGGCAATTTAAGTTTTTTTACTTTTTTACTTTTTACATTGATTCAGTTTTTATTTTTTTATATTATTTGTATGACATCATATTATAATATTTTAAGGAGTGTCTTATATTTTATAACTTAAAAAAAAATAATACAATTTTCGCATATGTACAAACGAAATTCAGAAGGGGGAGGGGGTAGGTGAAGTACATTTTAGTAACTTTTATTCTATTGATGATAAGCATAAACAAGAATTGAAGTAATATAGGTATAAATGTCGTTATTTTAAAATAAAATATGAAAACTAGTAAAGTTCCTGTTGTGGTGTTGTTGACAAGAAGTGATTAATCAAATTATGCCTACATGAATTGACATTTTTTAAGCATTTTTTAATAAATTTTTTTAGGAACTCGAAGAATTTTTCAAAGTTTATATTTTCGACAATTTTGTTTTGCATATCAATATATCATGTAGGTACTTACTAATGTTTTATTAAAAAAAAAAACTGACGAATTGCTTGTTTTTTCAAAGCAAATTCATTTGATTATATCATAAAATAATTATTTCATGAAATTCAAAAATACTGTTAAATCGATATAGCCTAATATACCTATGTATTATTATAATCTATCTATAATAGATTCAAATTTTGCAAAAAATAAAGTATGTTCTTTGCTACAATGATTTTTCTGTTGTAGCTTGTAAGTCGACATTGCATTTAAAACACGATGATAAAATATCTTCTAAGGTGTATAATTTCTTTAAAATACCATTTTTTCAACACGTTATTTAATTTTTTTTATTCAGATAATAGGTATTTTGTGATCACAAAATTACATTAACTTTTAAACTACCCATTTCGTTTTTTTTTTTTTTTACTTGAATTCATTTTAAATTATATTAAGTAACTAATTTTCTGTCATTTCATTGCAATGAATATTTATACATTTTATTTTCCGTAAAAAATAAACAAGCCAACAAGTAGTTTTAATGTATTACGGATTTCAATCAAATTATTTCTGTGTAAAAGTGTCAAGTCTAAAATTAGAAAATGTATAAGTAATAATTTATTTATATTCAAAATGTATTTATCACTTTGACTTGACGTGCAATATATGTTTAGCGAGGGTAATTAATTTTAAACCTTCCAGTACATTATCATTGTGTGCGCTTAAATACCTATTCATAAACATCTTTAGGCAATCTCGACATTTACATTTTTATGACTTATAGTATATATAAGAATGTTCATCGTTCACTAAAAGTATTTGGTTAGCATAATATAAGACAGAAAAAAGAATAAGCTGGAAAAGTGCGAATAAATGTGCTTGAAAGAGAATTAAGTTTTATTCTTTTTATCACTATATAATTTATATTGTTTTATGGCTTATATGTAACTAAATAAAATAATAATAATAATAATAATAATAATGTAAGTAAGTTGTATTGATGATATTTGCGAAGATGAGTTGTTCAGTGTTTATTGTGTGAGTTTATTAACTTGACTTTATCTTAACGTCTGAATTTCTATTCATTATTCACCGGTAATATAATCAATTTAGTTTGTTTCATTTTCAATGGTCGTTATTACATATAAACGTTTACTTGACGAATTCATACTGTGTTTTATCAGATAATAAAAAATGTTATTATATTTGTTTACACGCAAGAGCAACGCGTTTACCTACACCACGATTGTCGATCAGTGGCATTTGAATTTAATTGCTTCGTAATAAAAGCATTTTGTAAGAAAAATTATACAATACAACACCATAACAAAGATAGTAAATCGGCTAAAACAAAAGCAAATAATATTTAGCACTTAGTCCAAAGAAGAACCTTATAACACATTTTTCCATTACTCAGCTGCTGAAATCGGCATATTATATTGAAGTTTAACGAAACAATTAAAATGTAATAAAATCTATGACTTATAGGAAGACAAAAAATGATCAAAATTAATTGAGACTTAGTAAAAATATTTACATACGTTTAGTGTATTTTTTTAAAAATAAATTTCATTAAATTACGAACACGCACAGAATAGTTTTAAAAAAAAATTGGTTTCAGTGCTCTAACATAGCGATTCGTTATACACTGCAAATTATAGCTCAGGTTTTGGCATAGTTTTTGTTTTTAGTAAGTTATTCAGCGGCGTATGAACTCGACACTGTGGCCCAGTTGTAGTTTTCTGACTCTTCTGGTACGGGTACCGTATAAATACAATATTGCGTCCGCCGAATTTTTATACCACAATAAAATAAGACAGACGTAACAATAATAACGATAATAATAATAATAATAATAATAATAATAATAATAATAATAACATGAATGGTGACAGTAATAATTTTAATAATAATAATAGTAATAATATGTCGGTCAACGAATTGACTCGGCTGGAGCGGATGTGGCACGGAAATCCATTAAAAACTGAATTCAGCGCCCAGAGTGGTACCAAGTGTGCTATCTTATAGTACTATATAATAGTTATATCAGCGATCAAACCCTGCGACCACTATATCGTACAAATACACACATAAAACACACATATATATATATGTATACATAAATATGAATATGACTAGCTGTCTACCTAATTATAGTGTATTATTAGTTGTTACTATATATTATAATATGTATTATATAAACAGTAAGACATCGTTAAAACGGAACTTCACGGGACAGAAAAAAAATCCTCAGGAAGATTTACCAACCTATTTAGGTACTTAAACTGCAGTTACACATATTTTTGTAAATAAATAAATAGTACCTATAGTTGCCTGGTAATTAAAACGTCTCTAATATGTAAAAAGTTATGGCAAACGATTTTGAACAATGTTTAATAGTACAAAATACTATGTAAGTAGGTAGTTATTATTTGGTAAAAAATATAAAAATAATTTTTCCAAAAATCTATAATCGTTTTTTTTTATGGTACTAGTAAAATATTTTATAAATATGATTTATTATATCGTTCAATGACGAATATTATTGTGAGATCTGATAAGTTAATAGTTTAAAAATTAACTAAAGAAAACACAATAGTAAAAATGAATGCAATGGGTGAGTAAGACAAGACATGTGGAACTGTGGGAATTTAAAAAGAAAATTTCGTTTTGCTATTATAGTAAATATTATGTATAAAATATAACAAATATTATGGGCAAATCATAAAACATTAAAAACCACATTCCGTTTCCACGTCTCGACGAAAAAAACATTTTGTTTTAACGAGATTTTACAGTAATCTAAAGTGTATGATACATATCATATCTTTTAAGACGTTTAAGTCGTCAGAATATCGCTGTATGTGTTGTATCGGTGACGATCGAAGTATTTGTTTAGACTTGGTTCCTCGAATAATGGCTGTATCTGATCACGAACCGGTTGTGTGGAGTGTTCTGGTCGGGCTTGTGTCCGGTACAGTAGCTGCACGTCAACCGCCAAAATGCCATCCTGAAGTCCTGGCTGACGAACGCGTATATGAAGGGGTTGATGGCCGAATTAATCCAACCTTCGTGAGTGGAAAACAAACAAAAAAAATATATATTTAATAAAAAAATATTAAAAAAATTTTAATAATCACACAATATAACATACTATGGTATTATAATGATACAATGGGCAACGAATTAGCTGATAAAATCGCAAATGAAGCTACACTCCCTCAGAGTTTTGTAGAATTAAACTTTACCACTTATTCTGAGCCACTAGTCACCATCAAGTATCAACCCTAAAATTCCGGAAACATTTCAGAAAAACTGGACCGATGTCCTTCTTATAAATAAGACAGGAAATATTAAGCCGTCCATCAAAAAATGGCCTATCCTCCCAAATCTAAAAAGAAGAGATGAAGTCATCATAACTCGAGTCAGAATAGGCCACTCTCATCTCACATACTCCTCCCTTATCTCCCTGCGCCAGTATGCGACGCATGATGCGAAGGAAAACCTTTCATCTATCATATCGTTACCAGATGTCCAAAATACACCGAAGCACGGAAAATCTTCCCCGATCCAACTTCTCTCCGACAAGCGTTCAACAAAGAAAACACAGAGCAATATCCAAGTTCTCCCATACCGTAAATTTAAGTATTAAATTGCAAATATCTGTATACAATATTTCATTTGAATTTTCTCAACCGGTTTTCTTTTTCTCTCTATGTTGTGCAAACATAGGCTAATAACCAATGATGTTGAAGTCTTACTTCGAATAAAAAAATTACATAACGCATGCCTATTATAAAACACTGCTGTAGCTGATATAGGTTTATGTTATGAATAGATAGCATAATATGGATATTAAATTACAATGGTGATATTAGCTCACAATATACGGCAATTTATACGGCTGTGTGTAGAGGAAGTGATCACCATTCTAGCAAGAATATAAAATAGGTCACACCCACCTAACTAATGTCAATCTCATCAGTGAAGAACCAGCACCATTATTGTGATATAATATTATGCAATGCAACTCTAAGAATACAATATAATACCGTAGTAAAAGTTCAGCTGCCACAAGTCACATTTTTAACGATTCACTCAGAATACATTAAGCTATCGATAAAAAGACCGAAAACTTTAACAATTTCATATACATGTATTTTTCCAAAATATAAATCTAACCCGTAAATCGTAAGATTTCCAACATATTTTATTGTTATAAAAAAATATTTGTGAGCATAGAAGCTTTTGAGTTAATGTTGGCTACAACCAGCGTTGTTAAATCCTTATCAAACTATATGATAAAAATAATATATACGTAGTGGCTGTGTGTGTGTACACATTAAAAGCGGGTGAAACCTGATGAGATTTTAACAGTTTGTATAGTTTGACATTAGAGAGAAGGTATGGGGTGATCGGCCTAGAACCAAAGGGGGTGAGTGGTGCTTGTATTGGACATTTTGTAATTTTTAACATTTCATTAGTTGCTGCGCTGTATTAATATGCAGTCGTGTTAATACTTATCAATATGGATATTATTACGAATTTCGTCAATTTGCTCATAGTTAATTCATATTGACATTATATTGTTAATATTATTATTATTTGACCTGAGCGGAAGAGAGTTTTTCAGATTTAGGCATGTACGGGCATCACACGTTTTTGCACTCGCGACGCCTATGCATATACCCTATAATAGTCATCTGTCTGGAGTATTTTGTTGGTACAAATGATTTTATTGTTATGGTAAATTATCGTACTCTTTCTTAGTTAAACAATGAATACTATTCACGACGCTTATTTTATATTATTTTAACGTCAAACGTCTGTCCTATAATATTATACTTATTCGGTACTCGAATTGGTCGGCCAAATGATAATAATATTATATACATTACATTTTTGTTGCAATATTATTTTTTCGTTTCTATCATACACCCAGAAAAGTCGAGAAAATGAAAAAAATCTTGAAAACACCAACCAGTTTGTTACAACTTACGTATAGCTTACGTTTTAACTATTTATTTTATGGGACTTCGAGTGGATATGCGTAAATATGCAATGTAAATCGTCGGTTTTAAGTTTTTTTATTTCCAGAAACATTTACGAAAGTCAATAAATTAGTGCACACAATACTGATAAATTTAGTTAAACAATTTTAGTTTTTATTCTCTCCAACTACTATATATACTGCTTGATTCTCCACTAAATCCACCTCCTACATACCCAACGGATTAACTGGAAGGTATGTAAATAAACATAAATCATTAATAATTGCCAATGTATGACGTGAAATATAATAATAGGGTAGTTATTCAAATGCAATATATTATATTTTATTATATTGTTATACTATATTATAATATATTGTAGCAAACACCGGTATATTTATATTTATTTTTTATTTTGTAAAAAAGTTTAAAAATGTAATGATAATAATGTGACGTAGGTAGTACCCATACTGTTTGTTTCGTTTCGGTCGAGTAACACTAAGTCCAAATCTCTAAATAATTGTGATGAACATTTTAAATTGTTCTTTCTCTTTTTGCAAACGATTAACTATATTAATTAATATGAACATAAACGTGTTATTCCAATAACACTGAAATATTACACCTAACATTATAATATAGTTATTACTTATTACGTTCTACACTCAGTTCTATGGTATATATGCATATATATGTATATACTATATATTATTGTAACTTTCGTCTTCAAAGCATTGAATTTGCATGATTTTTCGCTACTTTGTAGAAGAAATTAAGTTCTATCAATGCAATTTTGATTACGCCACACTATAATGCGTACACGAAATTATATTTTGCATATTTGATGGTTTGAGCAACTACAACAATAAAACATATTCTAACAAAGTATTATACCTGTTTTGAGCATATTTGAATAGTTTATAAGTAGGCAGGATTGAAAACACTATTATGTTATTTGCTTGTAAAAGTTGTAATATTTTGTTATTTAAATAAAGGTGTAATCATATAAAATATGTATTTTATCTTTGTTATTAAAAAATGTAATGATATTTTTAGTGCACAAATGCATAGGTATGTTTATATTTTAACAGTTTTACTTTGCAGTGCTTTGAATTCACGACCTCACCGATATCAGTTATAGTACCGTGTGCTGATTTGTAAAAATATTTTTTACGACTGTCTTAAAACGTCTGCTCTAAAAAGTTTAAAAAATAAACAAATTAGGTATAACGTATACATAAATGTATTATAATTATTTTACGTTTACACGGATGGAGATAGGACCACATCGTTAATGTGTGATTCGATCTAATACTTCACCTAGTTTTACGTCGAACAACTGTGTTATTTACTTTGCCTGGATATATATGTATAGGTACCCAATAAACCAAATTTATATGCACAGCCTGAAGTGACGGTCGATATAATAATGTTCTAGGTCTATGCATTTGCTGCAGTTTGGTTTTGCATATTTGCCTGGTAGCTTTCGTATTCACATCAGTTTTGTTTCATAAAAGTAGGCATGTACTCAATTTTAGATACATATAGAATAGCTGGTACATCAATTTGTAATCGAATTATGGATACTCGGGGGGAAACACCGATATTGTTTTCATTCTTTTTTTATTTTTTTAGTAATTTCAAACGAATATTTTTTTCTAAGGTTATTTTTTCTTTATATTTATATACTAGGTAGGTATATATAATAATATATATTCATGTTTTTTGACTGTTTTCGAAGGCAGTGACGAGTTAAATAAAAGATATAAGTGCCTCGATGTGGCGGACGTTCTAGAAACGAATACAAATCGAAAGATTGAAGTGCGTGTAAATGATAAAATCGTTCAACTAAATGTAGGAGAAAGAAAAACCGCGTTTTGCGTAGCTCGTTAACAAGCTGTAGTGAATTGAAGAATACTGTGCCTATCGCGTAGAACAAAATAGTTTTTATTTTTATCGAGAAGATAGAACTCAGACAATTGTGCTGTGCTGAGGTTTATAATATAGTGTTTTCCGCCCCAGAATACATCAGCTACTGCTGCGAAAATCGTGAGAAAAACATTTTTGGTAGAAAAAAAAAATGAAAAAATAAACCGTATAAATATGAGCGAGATAAATATATATGCCTCTCGTCATAAAATATAAAATGTGTTGCACAAAAAAATACATACATAACACATAGGTAATGTATATAATATATATAGGTACTTTATTGTACCACGCGACCGCCGTGTACGAGAGTGAACCACGTTGGAATATATATTTTAGTGGCTTGTTTATAGCTACTGTAGTTGTTTCAGCATCTTATAATATTATATTTAAGAGCCAAAAAGACAAACACATTTCATCTCTCGAAACACTGCGGTGGCATTATTTTACACAATATTCACGAATAAGAATACGAAACAAAAACGGACTACTGCTCCGTCCGCGTTGTTTAATGCGTTGCAAAAAATGGTTCAGGTTAGGTATTTATTGTTTTATGTATACAATACGGTAAATTCTTGGAATTGTTCAAACATTTCGATGTCAGATTTAATCGGGCGTATTAATAACCACAATAAAAATCATTCGGACTTAATGGCAATGCACTCGGATTAATTGTTTTACATAACTCTGCGAATGGCTTAACTCCGGCGGCGGCAGACGAATTTTATTATACATTATATTGTCACACAATGACCGAAATTTCGGGTTCTCGCAAAACGCAAAACAACCGCCTCACAGCAGTTGCACATGTTATAATTATTATGATATTTAAAATATCGTCATTATTAATATTGTCCAGGAATCGTCGAGAAAATGAAATCATTTCACCTGCGTCTAATGAAATGATGTGCATATTAGTGATATCACCTATTAGGTGCACTTTGATCCACGACAATATTTTATCAGCTGATACGAACCTATATGCAAACTTTAATATATTTTGCTGCATTGTCGAGTATACAACAAGAAAGTGATGACAAAGGGAAGAAATACTCAGATTTTGTATGCGTTTAATAAGAAGTGTCGAGTGGCGATACAGACTTCTTAAGTCATGTTTATATTACCTACATAAGATAGAATATTATATAATAATATTTAAAATTTGGTCTAGTACAGCGGTTGCCAACCTTTTGGACCTTGCGGACCACTAAAACTATATTCTAAATTCTACAGACCACGTATAGCTTTTTACATAAATACCCTTCCACTACTGATTAATCTTACACCAAATTAATATAAAAAATACATACGTAAAATAATAAAAAAAGGTTTTATTTTTATTTATTTCGTGCAATTTTGCCTTCAATGTAGTCACTAAAAGTCGTAGAGCTTTACTTATTTCTAGCTGATTTTTAGCTATTTTTTTTGTGGACCACCGGTTGGCAACCGCTGGTCTAGTATAGTATTTCAGGAATTCGAAAAACTTTTATGAGCCACTCTCGTTGAGTCTCTTAAGTAAAAAAAAAAATAAATAATAGTAATAAGTTGTCTATATAATCTAAAATAAATTACGCTAATAACTGCTGTATTAAAGCTCCGACAGACGATAATAAAAAAATATACTATCATCGTCCGGGAAATCGGATGGCGTTGTGTACGCGAATAAAAATAATTGTCTTATGAGTAGTTTGTTAGGGCTTACCAAATATCCCACGTTTGAGAAAACGCACCCTATTATAATAACATGACGTACAACTACTGTTACAATAACAGCGGGTAATCTGCAGTTGTTTGTGTTTCGGGGATGTTTAAACGGTATATTATAATAGAGGTGAAAAAGGAGATAGCTGATATGGATATTATTATTATTACACTCTGCTTTGAGATAGGACCGTTTGAAATTTATATTGCTTCCGCCGGTTGTTCATCTCTTTGTTGTTTCTGTGTCCACCGCTAACGTTGATATACGTAGTTGGCGTAATTAGTGTGTACCGGGTATTTTATACAGGTATTACATAATTCGAAATTTTGGCTTTCGAGTTACCAGTCGACCTTCTAATATTGTTCGGCAATGAAGTGAATGTAACATTTCCGTATTTGAAACTACTGAAGTCTGGGCCACGTCTATATGAAAATTGGAAGGTTTGGTATTATAAGTAATAAATAAGAATACTATGATAACGGTAGCTCTCTAACATAGCACATTTGTCAGTAAATGTTTTCAATGTTGGTAATTTTTAGAAATAATTGATAACATTGTCTTAAAATTATTATTTTGTATGCGTCTGGGTGGGAAGTCGACTCCGTGTAATAACTATAATAGCTGTGAACAATAAATCATCTCCTAGCTTGTTATACAATGAAGAAAAACCAATTTTTATAATAAAAACATAAATGCAATATAAGTGTAGCATATTATTAAGTGTCAATCCAAAAGTGGTGATTTATTATTTAATAAAATATTGATTAATAATTTTGTGTAATATATTATTATGTGTATCAAGCAGAACAATTTTTTGTAAGCTGTCAATATTTAAATTAAATTGTTATTGGAACTACGCGTTCACGTCATAAATTAATATAAAAAAATGTTGTGAATTCATTAATGTAGTTTGTAAATGCAATAGATCAGGGTTACTTCCTATTACTAATATTTCAGTTTTTAAATTTCACACATTCTTTTCTTATACATTTTTAAGAAATTAGCTTATGTTTTTAATTTCATGAATAGTTAAGTAAAAAAATAAATAACATCAGTTGGTAACTTATGAACTTTAATAATATATGAGTCACGAGTCAATATATAGCTATCAAAAATATATATTGCATAAAATGGAGTCAGTTGTTTATTTAGTGCCACAATAACTTACTATAGTGACATTAAAAAATATACAATTTTAAGCTTAAAATCAATACTGCTGTTCGATTGACTGTGGAATAATGACCAACTCCCGTTAGAACATTAATTACATTACGTCACCCAGTCGTCCGAGCTCTTGAACTAGTCATTAAATGCTATTTAAGTTAGAAGTAAATGTGATTTAAATTTATTATATTCTATTAGAATTATTATTATTTGTTTTTCTTTAGTATATAATAGTATTTTTAAAGTATGGTTTATAATATTAATAATAATAATTATAATGTAAATTCACCATTCACTAACGAAAATATTCCTACGACTAAATAATACTTAAGAATACTTACTGTCTACTTAAGACTCAAATTAACGTACTCAGTTTGCCTATACGACACGCCGTCTAATAGTTCGTAAACAGTAATATAATATTATGTTTATTCAATAGGCACCTATTTAAAAAAAATTTTAAAAAAAAAAATTTAAAAAAATTTAATAGGAACGATAAAAATCATAATTGGATAGATTAAGATATAATTGTTGATAAATGATTCATAAATACTAGCAAACTATATTATTATTATCATCAATGTCCGAATACAAATGTTAAATTTGTTATTATTTAAGAATTTCATGAAATTTTTATTCTTAAATAGGAGATAAAAATAATAATAATTGTAATTTTATACTTTGTATAGATTATGAAATATCTTTAAAGGATTTTTTCTTCTTTTATTCTTGACTCAAAGTCTTATTTAGAATTTGGGCACCACGGAGCACTTAAAAAATCTAACACACTAATGTAGGGTTGCACAAACAATCTCTAAACATTTAACGAATCAATAGTTAGCTAATGGTCCTTTAAACATAATTTAGTGGCCCATAATTGGTCCATTAAATTTTATTGGACCGTTAAATTAATAAATTTTTCATGCAACCCAGCATAAAACTACGTTTAGGACATAAAATATATTAGAACAATTCCAATATAGATTGCTAAATTGCGATGACGAACATCACAGAACAGAACTAATGGTACCTATTAAATGAAAGTATGAATAAAGTTTTCATCATTTTGACGTTTTAATTATTATTGGGTTCTAAAAATACCATTTTTTGGATATTTTAAACGTATTTCAATATTCTAAATACGAAGTAACTTTCACTAATCATTACGCAACACTTACCTATTTCAATCTTATATCTAGTATAATTTATTGTAATACAGTTTAATTTGTTTTTATATTATGATTATATATTTACATAGTGTCGTAATATTATTATGATTATTTAATGTTCTAAGGCGTCACCGTATTGTTTTTGAATACATTTCACATTGACTTGAAATTCTAAGGTGATATACTTTCAACTATTTTTGATACTTAGTAGGTTTTTTAAAAACTTATTGAAACATTATTTTTTATTCTTATAAATTCCTGGAGATCATACATGACGTGTATTGTATATTTTCTGTTTCTCGTTACTATATTATGCATTCTAATATAATATTTTATATTTTGTATAGACTTACATTACATACACCATTGCCAATATAATATTTTGTTTCATCTTTGAGTATCTCGGCTTAAAAGTAAAAGCTAAATTATGTGACGCTTAATTGTAGATTGTCTTCTTGACCTATTTCGTTGGTCCAAAATACCCAACATCAAAGCTTACAATATTCAATGTTATTATTGTACCTACCCGATTTGACGGAATTCAAAACTATCTACAGTTTAACTTATTTGGGAGACCCGAAAGGTCATTATTCGAGTAATCTTGAAATTCCTCTAAGAAATCGATAAATTACTGAAGGTCACCAAAATAAGAATTTCGCTAAAAGTTTCCAAAAGTCGAATTGAAGGTTAATGATTCACAGTTCTTCCAAAATGCCTACTTCTTTTTATGTAAATGCGTTTCTATAAAATGCTCATCTCCTTTGGAATTTTAGGTAAATAATATTAGCACAAGTGGACACGAATCGTGCTTTATAACGATTTTCTAAGGCCAAGCAAAAGTTTATAAAACTTAAAACGACCATATAGACTTGCCACCTAAGGCAACTGTTTCCTGCTCTGTCCTCGCGGATACATTATGTTAATACCAATCCCGTAACCGGCGTTGCAGCTGAGCATATAATGTTACCTAACCCGCAGGTCATGACCACAACAATGTACGTGTACCTAATATGTATGAATTATGCGAATATTAACATAGCGCTCACCCAGCCACGTGAGCCACTTCATCATGTCCTCCGGTATGGCGGCCGCCGGCAAAAATGGCGTGATCAGGTACACGATGAAGAACAGCAGCCAACAGGCGATAAATCCGCCGACGACGATCGACAGCGTCTGCGCCGTCTTGTTCTCGCGCTTCAGCGAAACCCGGCAATCGTCACCTCTGCGTAAACTGACATTAAATATTAAATTGTCGGATATTTAATTAACGGTATATTATGCAATAGTTGTACACGATAATATTAAGAACATGCAATAATGCGATCGTATAATAATACGCGAGATAGGTATATTGAAATGGACGAGAGGCCGATCGCGTTCTATATTTACCTGACACGCACGATTTCATCCATTTCCACCGACGGTCTTTCCATCGATTCGTGACTGTAACGGGATATCTGGAAAACCAAAGAAAATGAGTTACATAAAATGGCTTATTTATAAAAAAGCGCTTCTATGTTGCATAACGATTACAATAGCTATTGGTACCCAAACACGACGCCTATAATAATATTATAATATAAAAAAAAAATTAATAACAAATTGCGATGTTGGATAGGAAATTAGGACACATAGCATCAGGCGATCATTTTTCCAGTAAGGGTCTCATAACTCTTATTATTTATTATGACGTTCATTTTTCGTTGTTTAGATTCATGTCTCAAGGATATGAAAAATATTTGGATTTATCAAATATATTAATAATATATGGGAGTATTACATTGACGATACTCTAATAATGTTTCTACAAAATAATATATATTTTGCAAACACAAATATTATTATTATGCGTATGTGTCAACAATCTTTTTAATGTTTAATAACCGCACTCAGCATATTACACAGCATTGGAAAACAAATAATTATTATGTACACCGAACTTTTATTATCGGAGCCGGAGCGACCTATTTTTCCCCCAGACCGAAATCACACCAATTAGTTACGTTTTGCGTCATCATTGCATTGTAAGAGTTTGTCAGATATATATGCATTACATTTTGTCACCTTTGTCTGACACGAGAAAAACGAAACAAAAATGCACATTTGCGCGAAGTCATTAATAATGTTTAAGTGATTTTTGGGTTAGAAACTTAAAACACGTAACGCGTAACAATATATTTGATGGAACATAATTTATGTTGTATCAAAGCGCGTTTTAATACTTTAATACAATAATACTATGTAAAGATAATATAATAATATCAAAAAAGGTTCAAATTTACAGAGTAAATTATTAATAAAGACACATTTTTGTTTATAATCTCAAACGCAAAACTACGAGGTTATACGTAATAGAAGATAAAGAAAATTCATTGAAAATCAGTGATCAACAGATTAAGCAGGTTTCACTGCCAATAATTTTCAGAAATAGGTTGTACGAGCGACAAATATAACATAATATTATGATATGGTGTATAATTTAACATTATTATGTCACGTTGACTTGTTGAACGTTAAGGAAAATAAAAATACAGCTACATTTTTACAAAAAGTTTATAGGTTACTTTGTGAGTAGTAGATAACGATAATATAGTATTTTTATGAGCAAAGTTCAATGTACAGATATAAAACTATTAACGGTAAGACAAATATATTTTATTCTTAATAATTTTCTGATTTGTATTCACTATTATTATTTTTATCTACTGTAGAATGATTTCTATACATGATGCTATGATTATTAAAAAACATATCATTGAATATTATATTTTAGCTGTCAAATGGCTTTTACAAATATGCAATGCTTAGTCCTTGAGGTCATTCGAGATTGTTCATGTTGTTACCAGAATAATGTATTATTATAAAAAAGTTTTGGCGAACTGAACATAATATTTGAAATTAATTTCTAAAACTTGTAATTTTATGAGTGTAAATTATAGACACTGGTACGTAGGTGTCTAATAACATTAAAATACTTAAATTAAATTAAACTTTAGAGTTTAGAGAATATCAAAATTGTTCATGTGACAGTTATTGAATTTAAAGAATTTAACCTTGAAACTTTTGATTACAATTATTAATCATTATAAAGTATAATATTAAAAACAAAACCACAAACAAAAAAATTATTTTCAATATTAAAAACCATAATTTAGTTAATTATTAACAGGAATAATTGTTGACAAATTGATAAAATAATATACACTGTGTATCTTCCATTTAGCATCGAAATTGTCTGTTCATTGAATTATTTTTGAGAGCCATAATCAAATTCAAACCAAATTTATGTAATCGCATTAAACGGATTTCGCTACAATACGAATTTGAATTTTGAATTCTGAGCTGAGTGATTATGTTTGTATTGATTTATTGATTTTACAATGATTTGCTTTTTATTGTGCTTGATGACACATTTTATAGCAGAAAAAACTCTTCAATTTCAAATTCAATATTTAGGAAAGTGACTTTAATTGGTTCTTTGGGAGATCAAAAGTAAAAATTTAATAGTAATAATTCAGACCCCCCCCCCACACAAAAAAATCCGTTTTTGATAAAATCGATGTGCTAATTTTTATGTAAATATAATTACGAACCACACTGTAGATACTTATGTGTAGATGCTTATACAAGCAAATTATAAGCATACTTGACTGCTCAAAAAATATTTTGACACTGTTTGAAATTTTTCGATTTTAATAAGTTTTTTTTTTCATTTAATTGTTGATAAATAATTATTTTCTCAGTGAAAAAGCTTGACAATTTAATACAAGGTTTTTCATCAGATTGTGTTACAGCTATTTAAAAATATATTATTTAATATTTTTTTCCCAATAGACATATGATGCGCCTATTTCGACAAAGTTAAATATTTAAATAAAGAAGAACATTTTTAATTATTTTACTATAATTAAAAAATATTCATGCTGACTTGAAACTTTTACACGACATTGTTAAAATATTTATTGTGAGTTTTTGTCTATGTATATTTTATATCACAAACCTATTCGTACCATTAAAATCGACCTTATATACTATTACTAATAGAAAAATAAATTACTAGTGGCAATATAAAATATCCTAGGTCTTCGTACACAATCGTTTTCTGTACACAATTATATATCATTGAGTTCAAATTTAACCCATCCATTACAGTGAACCACACGACTCCTACTGCACCAAAAGCAGGACTCACTCACAAATATATATTTTTTATTATTGATCAAAGGCAATGCGGCTTAGTAATACGAACGATTCACTGAAAATCTAATATTAAAACTTAACAGTGGTCAATATTAAAATCAAATCAAATGAAAGTATGTTGAAATAATTCAAAAACAATCCAAATTAGAAACACTCGAGAAACAATTCGATATTTAGCTAATAAAATATGTGATCGATTTTTTTAAACATATACGAAGTTCTAACTTCCAAGGTTTTGGAGATATAGCAATATGCCACCGTAATATGACTTGATAAGTCGACTACCACGGTGGATAGTCAATAATGTATAATATTATAAACTTTAAGTTTATGTACAAAACTAAACATTATCTCATTCATAGTTTTTTGAAAACTTTCTAAGTTGTAAAGGATCCACCGGGAATATGTTATCAAACTATGAAATAAATATTTTAAGACACTTTTGTTGATTATTTTCAAGATTAAATAATAATGTTTGAGCAGTATTGTGATATTAATAGGATACGACGCAGGGTGTCCTAAATATCATTATCGATGATAATATTATATAACACTATACATTAATTATTCTAATTAATATTAATTTAGTTTAAATTTATGATTCATAATTTAAAATTGCACATGGACCATATTACAAAATAAGTATTGAACTAACATATTCGTGAAATATTTTGTATGCAATTTCCGAAATTAAAATAAAATGATTTCTAATATGAATATTTTATTGCGTGGTATATTTATTTATTTCTATAGCTGACCCCGTGCGCATTGTTGTTCTTTAAAAATGCCAACTTAATATGATTCTTAGTGCATACTTATTACATGGTTTTTAAAATTAGCCTTGAAGATTGCAACCCTCAAACTATCATTATTTAGGCTCTTCGTTGATCAGTCGGCGAGTCAGCCAGGACACGTTTGATTATACCGTTTGATTAGAGTGGCCCCTGAAGCTCGCTAGTATATTATTGTCAGGTAGGCAATTCACAATGTCTTACTCTCGAGTTTCAAAGTTTTAGCAAGTTGAATTTATTTTTTAAATTATACCAGATTGAAGAAACAACAGTTGTGTATAGTACATCAGTTAGACGATTTCCCATTCTAAATTACCAAGCTTGAATTTTTTGTTTAGCTTTTCCTCAGAGTTTTCTCTTCAATTTTAATTTTTAAATCGCCCCTGTATTAGAGAGAAAAAAAATACTCAAATCGATGAAGCCGTTTTTGAGTCTCAGCGAGACTAACGAACAGCAGTTAATTTTTATATAAATAAAGTCATAAATGTTATTATTATTTTCTTTAATATTGTTTTTTGAAAACAACAATGAAAATATAAATGAAATTTCAATTGCGTTGGTGGAGACCATTCTATTGATGTAACGTTTTTGAATTGTTTTTATTTAGTACAAGAGCACTTGTTTAAGTTAACATTATATCAATAAACTGTAATATCAAAGTGCAAAATAGGCTAATATGATACTAAATACTTTAATGGTATACTTTTAGTAATACACATTGGAAATTTACAAAGGCAATTCAAATTGAAATCTGTTTTTATTTAGTTTCGTAGTTCAAAGTAAAATAAGACAAAAAGTTGTATATAATTTTGCTTTGAACTTTTATACAAAAAACATCACAAACGACATGATAAGATTATATTTAAAGTGTTAAACTTTAAAATAAATGTGTTATTATCTTCACTTCACGTTGCGGAATTAACGAAAATAAAAATTGGAACCACCCGTTACATTAGAAATAAATTAGGAAACTAAAAATGTCAAAATACAAGTTTACAGTACGCGGATGACTTATTTTGAGTCTGAATACCACAATGTTCAGTGGTTCAACCTATTTAACGGGTCCGCCATTCCAAATAAGTACCTACCCAGTGCCCAGTAGTATACCCAGTTGTAATAATATTGTCATTGGTTAATTTCATCAATTACGATGAACGAATATCATCATATTATTATTATGACTTATAATAATTTTTTTATAGTTTATAATAATATTATATTATGGTATTTCCGGGGTGGAGTTTTTTCCCGGATCAGTTTTTTACTCTGACTAACTTATCTCCCATATTTTAATAATTCAATATTTTCGTTACAAATTATAAACGTTTGAAAGTTGTTATTATTTCCACCCCGTTTATACCGTCAAAATAACGCGCCGTACTGGAATCGTCGACTCCACACCGATTATTACCGGTGACATATTACTATATTATACTTTAATGTATTGTGTTAGCACTGTTAGGTAC